CAGAGTGAACAAAGGTCTAACCTGAGGACTGTCTATGTTGGCCACACTGAGTGGACTGATGGCCAGTTTCTTTTCCTTTGTTGTGAACTCTACCAGCCATCCTACTTGTTAAATACAGCCCAAGGCAGGAAGCCCAGGGGGAGCAGGCACAGGAGGAAAAGGATGGTTTAGATGATAAAAAAGCATCCTGTAGCCTTTTATTTAGCGTGCTCTCTCAGAGGTCAAGTGGCACATGGGCAGGTGTAGAATCTGGCTCTTGGATTTCTTAATCCTCTGCTCTTAAACAAGACTAATGCTCTGTATAGAGTCTTAGGAGACCAGATAGTCCTATGCATTGTTCAGTCTAGCTTCTTCCTAGGCTCCATCTTCACAGAGCTAGTGAATTCATCAGACACAGAAATGCATGGGGTTATTGATATCTGAGCAATTTTCAAGACAAACTTAGTCTTCCATAGTTGTAACTTTTTGCTTTGTCTTCTACGGACACTAACACACCTTCAGTTCAATGAAAGGCTAGGGTTCAGGTACAGCAGGTGATAATAATTGTCTTGGGTGCACAATTTATGATGTACCAAAAAAATCTCAGCTGTCAAAATAATACTCTGCAACATGTTATACCTTAAAAATATCAAAGCAAACCAGCAAACTAGGGCCCAGACATCAGCCTTTTGCTGCTGTCAATAAAGCTTTATTGCCAGGACTGAGGTGAGCTGTAGTCTTACATGTCTGAGCTGGATTTTGTCTTTAAAGTCTAATACTTTGTTCACCAAGGATATTTTTGTATTATTAAATTTTTAGAGATGGTGTCTCAAGTAGCCCAGAATGACCTCAGGTCTTGCTACAAAGCCGACACTGACCTTGAGTCTCTGGTCTCACCTCCCAACTGCTGAGATTAGAGGTGTGAATTAGCACAGTCATTTTATACAGTGCTGGTGACCAAACGCACCTACCATGCATGCTAGACAGCCATTCTACCAACTGAGCTATTATCATTGCTTCAGGTAATAAAGTCTTAACTCTATAGCAAAATCATTGTCAATAACCACTCAGGATCCTTAGCTGGATGGAAACAACATAATTAAGACTAACTCCGAAATCAGCTTCACCAAAGGGAAGTGGTAACGAGTTGAGGCAAGTTGCCTCATCTGTCACCCTAATTGTTTCGAGCAATTAGAGGCTAAACGTGAAGTCTGAACAAGAAGCGAAAGGATCTGGATACTTTGAATATTATCCAGGCCCTGAAGCCATGGACACTCAGAAGAGAGTTCTTTCTGCCCTCCCATCACCTTCCAGCCTGGCCTCCCACCCCTTACCCCCCTTGCCTCTATGTATTTCAGGAGAAGGGGGCCCTAGAGCACTGGCAGTGGGAGGAAGTGTGAGGCATGAGGCAAATACCACAACACAGCGCTGGCTGCTCCAAGGCCTTGAGGCCGGTGCACCAGGTGTTAAAGCTCCTTTCCGTCACTTCTTAGCCCCTAACCTGGAGCAAATTCTCAAACCACTACCTGCCTCGGTGTCCTCACAGAGAAAGGGACTTCATAGTAAAACCTTCCTTATCGGACCGGTGTAAAGTATACACAGGATGACTCAGTGAAAGTGCTGAGAGTCGGCATTCCACAGAGGTAACTGACCAAAAGTAAAGACCAGCCAGGCTTGTGCTGCTTGTCTGTAATCTCACTATAGTGGAGGTGGAGGCAGGAGGATCAGAAGTTCAAGGTTAGCCAGCCTGTGCTAGAGAGTCAAAGGCTAGCCTGGGCTATATTAAATCCTTTCTACAAAATAAATAGTAATAGCAATAGCCACACTTTTGTACTGATTCATATGACTGGCTTTTCTGTTCTTGTTGTCATACTATGATACCGTGGGTTGAGTAATTTATAAAGAATATAAATTTAATCCTCACAGATCAAGAGGCTGGGAAGGGAAGGTCAAGATAAAGATACCAGATTAAGATCCTAATGAGGGTCCATTCTTTACAGACAGCAGCTGGTGTTCTCACATGGAAGAAAGACAAACATTGCCATAGAGGAGGGGCGCTGAGCCCCTTCACAAAGGGTCCACCCTCAAGATGACCTACTCACCTCCCAGCGGACTCCATGATATCAAAACATTGGTGATTAGATTTCAACATAAATCCTGGAGAGACAAAACATTCAAACCACAGCCCCCGTGTTCCATCATTTTCCTGTATGGAGAACTGAAGAGCCAGTGTCAGAGGTTCACTAAGAGTGGCTTCCTCACTCCCCAGCCAGCCAGAACCTGTCTGGATTTGACACAGCGTGGCTCAATCACCAACAAATTGCTGAAAGCCTGATGATTAGAAATGAAAAATGACACCCAAATGTTTGACATATTCTATCAAAACGGAAACACCTGTTATATGGCAGAATCATACTTTATATTTTTGTATATAACTCAACTTAATTTCATTTTATATGTATAGGTGTTTTGCTTGCATTTATGTCTGTGTATCACAGGCATGCAAGTGCCCAAGGAAGCCAGAAAAAGACATTAGATCCCCTGAAACTGAAGCTACAGATGCGAGTCACCAACATAGGTGCTAGGATTTAAAGCCAGGTCCTCTAGAAGAGCAGCAAGCGCTTGTAACCCCTGAACTGTCTAACTCTCCAGACCGGTATATTTTCTTGAAATTATTTTTAATGATAAAGAAGCATGTTAGAAAAAAGAAATCTCTTTTTAAAAATGTGTCTTCATTAGTTAGTTTTCTGTTGCTGTAATAATAATAAAAAAAAAAAACTATGAGCAAGGGCAACTCAGGGAGGAAAGCTTATTTGGCTTCCAGTTCCAGGGGGTTAGGATCTGTCCTAGTGGCAAGCTAGCAGAGCCGGAGTCAGAGCTAGAAGCCAAGAGATTCCGCTTCTATCCACAAGAAGGAAGTTGAGAGAACAAACTGGAAGCTGGGTGAGGCAATGAGCTCTCAAAGCCTGCCCCCACTGATGTACTTCCTTCGGTAAGGCTCCGCCTCCTAAAGGTTCCTCCCCAGTGTCACCAAACTGGGACCAAGTTTTCAAATATCTGAGCCTACCGGGGACAGCTTTAATTTAAGCCACTACAGGTTCTTCCCATGCTGCCTAAACTGATCTCAAACTCCTGCGCTCAGATGACATCCAGTGTCAAGCAAGACTGCACACATGCTCAGACCACTGCTTCCTTTGATGCCCCTTCCCAATATTAGGGACCGCATGCAGACCTACAGGTATGCAAGGTAATGCTCGACCAGCCCTTTACATCTTTTTTTTTTTTTAATTGTTAGGGTCTTTCTAAATTTCCCCAAGCTTTACAACTAGGCCTGACTTCAGATCGTATTTTTAAAAGTAAAACTACCAAAACAGTTAACACATCAACAGAAACACATAGCAATTCTGTTTTTTTTTTTTTTTTTTTTTTTTTTTTTACCAATATGACTCTGTAGTAGACAGGACGATGTCCTTCACCCTCTGCATATAAAATGTCCTTGTAATCCCCAAGACCTGTGAATGCATTACCTTACACGGCAAAGGGATTTAGCAGATGCGAGGAACATGAGATTGGTGGTTTGAATAAGAATGGCCCCTACAGGCTCATGGATTTGGATATTTGGGCTTTAGGGAGTGGTGCAACTTCACAGGGATTGGGAAGTGTGGCCTTGTTGGAGGAAGTATATCAGTGGGGGGGGTGGGATTTGGGGTTTCAAATGCTCAAGCCAGGCCTCTCTCTCTCTCTCTCTCTCTCTCTCTCTCTCTCTCTCTCCCTCCCTTCCTCTCCTTCCTGCTGCCTGCCAATCCAGATGTAGAACCTCTCCAGCACCATGCCTGCCTGTGTACCACCATGACAATGCGGCTGTAAGCCAGCCGCAATGAAATGCTTTCCTTTATAAGAGTTTCCATGGTCATGGTGTCTCTTCACAGCAGCAGAATATTGACTGAGACATCGAGATAGGGAAATTATTCATATGAGCCCAACGTAACCACAACAGTCCTTAAAAATGGAATAGGGGGCAATGGAGAGATATTACTTCAGAATAAAGGCACAGAATAATACTATACAGCTCTGGCTTTGGAGACAGAGGAAGGGGTCCCAGGTCAAAGAACTTGGGTGGCCTATGGAATCTATGAAGGACCAGGAAACAGATTCTTTCCTAGAATGTACAAAAAAGGAACACCATGTCGGACTACTGAAAGGCAGAGTTACAGGTGATACGCTCACGCTGTTTAAGTCACCAAGCCTGTGGTCATTTGTTACAGCAGTAAGTTAAGGACTAATACACACACAGGATTATCAAACCATCCTTGGTATACTGGAGCACATAGCGCAGTAAATGGCTAGGTCACTAGCTGGGGATGGGAAGTCAGGGTGGACAGGGAGGTGTGGGTTGGGGGATGTGTAGGGATGAGATCAATTCCCTGTGTTCTCTGAGGCTCACAGTGCAGCTTCTGATCATTTAAGTGCAACAAAATAAGATCTCTGCCACTCAAGGCCATCTCTGATGCCAGAGGTCCCTGTTTAGGGATGGTCAGTGACTTACAGGTGAGAAACACTCATTCCTATATGTCTGTAGCTTATAATACAGGAGCTGAGTAAATGTAATTCCAATTTCTGATAATAGATAAAAAATATTATAGGTATTCATGCTGGGCAGTGGTGGCACACACCTTTAATTCCAGCACTTGGGAGGCAGAGACAGGCAGATCTCGGTGAGTTTGAGGCCAGCCTGGTCTACAGAGCAAGGTCCAGGACAGTCAGGACTACATAGTGAGACCCTGCCTCAAAAACAACACAAAAATGAAAATGACCCAGAATACAATCCTTTTATGTACATATTTTAGCTAAAACCTTGTCATGGAGCTGAAAAGAGATGGGGTCTTTGCTCTCTCTTGTACATTTCCGGGTTCTGGAGCTCAAAAATCTGGAGCCCTAGAAGCCTTACAGACTTCTCACAGGAAAGCCCTTCAAGAGCCTGTACAAAGCCAGACCTCTCCTTGACTTCCTCCCCAGCTCACCGGTTTCCTTGTGAGGTGGTGAGGTGCTGCTCCAAGGCGTATCATCTTCAAACTGGACCCAGTTGCTGATAGCCGAGGCCAGGTCAGGTGTGGGCTGCACTGGGCTCCCGGGAGGGGTGGTCGCTTCAGAGATGAGGCCCATCTTCTCAGAGGAGTCATCCTGCTCAGAGTGGGAAAGGTCCTGGCAGCCTCCATCCACGGCAGGATTCTCCCCGGAGGAGCTCTCAGACGGGTCTGAGGAAGATGATGATCCTGGGAAGTGCTCTTCTGTGGCCCCTACAGAGGGTACCAAACACGACCATCATGCAAGGAAGGATGCTAATCAGAAGTGACTAACCAAGGGCCGGGCTGACACGACACTCACTGGAAGATGAAATGGCCATGCTGATCCATCTCCGTGTTAAAGGGCTGTGTCCCGAATAACTTTTAAGGCCTGTAATCTCATTTGCTCCCAGTTACTATCCCAGAGAACTGAGAAAAACATTCCCCATTATTGTATTTATTTATGTGTGTATGAGTGTATATGATGTATGTATGTGTGGGTGTGTGGCAGAGGTTGATGTCAGGCATCATCCTTGATTGTTCTTTACTTTTTGGGGTGACATATTCGATGTACACATGTGAGGGGGTACTCTGCCCAGTGCATAGTGTATGCATCTATGGAGGCTGGAGGTCAATACCAGGATGATTTTCTCAATTGCTCTCCACCTTACTTTCTAAGACAGGGCCTTTCCCTGAATCTGGATCCATCTATTCCGCTAGACTGGCTGATCCGTGAGCCCAGGGCTCTACCTGTCTGTACCTCCCTGTTCTCAATGCTGGGGCTGTCTGTACTTGTGCACCGCTGGCAATTTTCCATGGGCACTGGAGGTTAAATCCAGGTCCTAATGCTTGCACAGCTGGCACTTTATCTGCTAAGCCATCTCTCCAGCCCTTGTTCATTATTTTTACTCTCCGTATCCGTGCCCAGTTTGAGAGCAAACAAATTCAAATGGCAATAGAGGTCAAGCAAGAAATATTCCTGAGCCGAGTGGAGACAAATGAGAAGCAGTAGGGTGCTGGGGACTACAGCCAAATAGTGGAGCTTTCCTCTGCACTAAAGAAATTCAAATTCAAATTTGAAACTCCATTCTGGACAAGCTACTCTGCAAGCAACCCGTGCAGACCCCACGAATCACGGGCAGCTCTGACACTGGGGTTCTTCCTTTTCTTCATGTTGTTCCATTGGCCCTGAATGCTTAAAGCCCTTCAAAACTTGTTCCTTAAAAACTTTTATTACATTTTTTCCATAACATATTTTGATGATATTTGTTCTCCTTTCCAAAGTCTTCCTAGATCCTCCCAAGGTCCCTACCCACTCAAGTTCATGTTCTTCCTCCTTCTGCCTCAAAATAAACAAAATAGAAACAGGAAAAAAAAACAAAAACAAAAATGCTCATGCACACATACACACAGAGTCTGCTTTCTACAGGCCAGCTACATCTGGGCATGGAGCTTTACTGATAGACCTCGTGACACTCCATTGAGAAAAGGGATTTTTTTTCCCCAGCAGGTAGCAGTTGCAAATGGCTTCTTAACTAAGGGTGGGACTTTGTGTCCAGGAAGATGGAGAAAGAAAACTTGTTTTTCACAATAAAGCATATGCACTGATTATGGTTGTTGAATATACAACTATATACATGTTTTTAAAATTCATCAACTACATAGCAAACAATGTCCATTTTACTGTATGAGATTTTACCTACATGAGAGTTTACCTACTTTTCTATCGCACAGCCTATATATGAAATATCCTAAAAAGTCAAAGAAATTATTTGAAAATCCTTTTTCCTATCATAAGATAATCATAGTGTCTTTTATACAATCAAAGGCTCCAGCACTATCTAAGTAAAATAAAAGGTGAGACACATACATAAGCTTAAGTTTTTCTAGTTTCCACATTTAAAAGGAGCTGGTGGTGCAGGTGCATGCCTTTAATCCCAGCACTGGGGAGGCAGGGGCGGGAAGATCTCTGTGAATTTAAAGCCAGCCTGGTCTACAGAGTGAGTTCTAGGACAACCAGGGGCTGTTACACAGAGAAACTTGTCTCCATAAGCCAAAAAAACAACCAAACAAAAACTGTTAATGAGATACTGAAGCACGATTAATTAAAAACTCAGAGACAAAAATTGGGGTTCAACCTGAAGGTCAGAAAAGCAAAACAGCCAGCCACTGGCTCTTATCTATACTTTAGTCCAAAATGGTGATCCTCCCTCTACCTCTGAATGAGACTGAGACTGAGAGCTGTCTCCTCCCATTTTATAATCCTCTCTAGTTCAGTGGTTAAGGGTGTGCATGATTACTGCCCAGTTTCTATGGCAAGCTAGTGTGGCTATTGAGATTAAAGGTGTGTGTTACTGCTGCCTGGTCTATAAGGCTGGCCAGTGTGGCTGCTTTACTTTTCTGATCCTCAGGCAAGCTTGATTTATTAAAATACAAATGAAATACCACTATAAGATATAATTGTGTATATGTGTGAGAGAGTGTTTATGTTTTAAGTGTGTGTCCCTGTGCTGAGTGCACACGTGTGGGGGCAGGTGCATACATGTGCCTATGCATGTGTGGCAGCCAGAAGAGCTCACCTAGTATTTTTTCCTATCACACTTTGCTTTGTTCCCTTGAGACAGGTCTCTCACTGGATCCGGATTTAGGCTGGTAGCCATCCAGTCCCAGCAATCCTACTTCATGTCCTCCACAGGACTGGGGTGAGAGGTGTGTGCAGCTATGCTGGACTTTTAGCATGGTTCCTGGCCATTTGAAATTAGGGCCCCATGCTTGCAGAGCCAGCGCTTTCACTGAGCGAGTTGTCTTCTCAGCCCCAGGACATGTGATCTTTACTAGGTCTTTGACATTCAGCGAATGCACATCTCCATACAGGACACTTGGCCACGTTTCAATTTAGATTTGCCACATTTTAAGGCTTCACTATCCACATGGCGACCACACGGGCTGTATACCTGTTGACTGCCACTTCCCATCTGTGCAGGTAAAGGTGAGTCAGTATAGGGGAAGCAGAGCAGAACCCACTGGCCTGGTGCTGCAAATATCCCTGGGTCTACCTTGACCTTCACCCTGGAGCACTAGTCTCCTACAGGGCAATGTGGTCACTTCTACTGTGACAATGCTCAGCTCCTTTTGTAAGCCAGGTATTCCAGTTGGCATTTTACATCTGCTGACTAAATGCTCACGGAAGCTCCCCAGGCAGGGCCTGTGATCACTCCTCTTATAAATAGACAAGGCAGCGGTGGTAATTGCAGCGCTCCGGAGGAGAGGGAGGTAGGAGAGCTGCTGGGGAGTCATGGCCAGCCTAGTCTACAGTGACTTCCAGGACAGCCAAGATTATAGTGTAAAAACCTGTCCTAAAATTAAAACACAAAACCAGCTGGGTGTGGTGGGGCATGCTGTTAGTCCCAGCACTTTTGGGGGGGGGGAGGGCAGAGGCACGTGGATCTCTGAGTTCGAGGCCAGCCTGGTCTACGGACTGAGTTTCAGGACAGCCAGGATACACAGGTTGCCCTGTCTCAAAAAACAAAAAGCAAAAGGAAACAACAACAGAAACAAATCACAAAGCAAAAAACCAAAAAAGTTTCAGAAAGATATGGGTAAGAGCATTTGCTGTGCAAGCGTGAGGACCCGAGTTCAAGTCCTCAGTAGCCACATATAAACCAGGCCTGGCAGCACACGCCTATAACCGCGGCATTGCGTAAAGACAAACAGATCGTGGTCAGCCAGCCTAGCTAACACACAGGCTTCTGTTTTGTTGGTAGATCATGTCTCAAGACAATAGGGCAGAGAATGATGGCACCTGAGTCCTGCTGGAGCCTCCACATAGATGGGCATGGCATGTGCACATGCCAAACACCCGCCATCTCACCCCACACATGCACCGTTCACCCAAGAACATACCATTCATCTGTGGTGATGCCAAGGTTAGAGATTTGCAATCTGGCTCAGAACCTGTCTGTCACTTCGAGCAATTACACTTTAAAAGTTGAGAAAAATCCAAAGGGTTGGCGGGAGGAGCCACCAAAATGGCAACAGGAAAGCAGTGTGCGATTAGAAGTTTTGTCTCCTGGAAGGAATAAGCCCCCGCCACTGGTGCTCCAGGGCTGTAGTGCAGTCTCACGTGAGCAAGGAACCTCCTCTTGCTACTGAATGAAAGAAACCATGCGCATCCCTGGTAAGGGACCAAATGGCTTCTTTTCTTTTTTCCTGTATTAGAATCCCACCCACGAAAGATCAAGAACCAGACACAAATCTTGTCACTTTAAGAAATCTTGTCCTTACCCTCTGAAGGGGCGGGGAACAGGGGCTCTTCACTGAAGGAGACCCACTCTGACTGGTGGGTAGCGACGACATGGTCCAAGGTCGTCATGCTAAGAGAAGGCTGCTCATCTTCACCCTGCTGACCTCAAGTAGACCCCAGAGAGACGTCTGGGGCGATCAGGGCAGCAGCACCGCGAGCTTGGGCCTCCAGTCTATCACAGCTGTCAGTCCGTGAAAGCCAGCAAAGTCCTCCTTGCCTTAGGTCGGGCTGCCAGGCAGAGATCTGTTTAAATGAGAAAGGAAATTGAAATCGGTAAACATTACATTACACTGAATCCATAACGGCCTAGGGCTTTGAACACCACGATGAGGTTTCAGGTAGTTTCCAGCATGCCTTGTTTCTCTCTCCTCGTCTTTCTCTCCTAAACCCTCTCTACTAACACAAGATCCCTGTATACGGAGTCAGGTCAGACCACTCATTTAATAACCACTCAAAGTTTAGCATTTTCAGATTGGCTTCCCTGATTTCCCCAACCATTCTCTTTCGGAAACACTGTTAGCTATAATGGAAGGCTATTGGTTATTATTAAGCATTAAAACTTGTTCAGAGGCTTTCCAGGGTTTTTACCCAGATGGTGAAATAAAAGCATGCTCCTTCCCGTTTAACCGAAGCCCTTGCTTGCCTCAGGCGGGTTACTTTTTGTGAGTCTGATCTGCACCTCAGGCTGTAACCAGATAGCATCTCCAAGCGTGATTAACCAATCAGGAAAAAAACAAAACAATAACGGAGTCACCCCCCCCCCCCCTTGTTCATTTGAAGGAAGAGGTTGGGGAATATTTGATTTACTGATTAAAAATAAAAAAGCAAGTTAAATACATTTTCAATCTCGGTCAATTTGAATTAGTGTATAAATGTCAAATCCTTCCTTGTAAGGGAATTATGTTCTGTGAATGTTCAAGATTATTTAATTGGCTTATAATTTTCTTTGTGTTATTAATGTCTTTTTACAACTGGAACCTCGCTCTTGATCTTATGATGAATGAATAAAATGAGAATTGGCGCAAAATTAATGTGCTTTCACAAAGGAGCTTCTGTCTGTCTCGGGCCCCATTGTCCTTGCTAAGCAAATACACTCTTCTGATGGTTTCTAGAGTGACGTAACTCAGCCTTCACAATAACAGGAGAAGTTAAACTTTGCTCTACATTATTATTTACAGTGAACAATTTATACTGAGGAAAAAAATCAGAATAGAAAACATTTGATGATTTTGGTGAGGAAAAGGTTTATTTTATAGTTCTTAAAGCAACTGTTTCTATAAAATTTATAATCCTCAGAAACCTATTTTTATACTGCCCGTCACTTAGGTTGTCAGTATACTGGTCAGCTGTTGTTTGTTTGTTTGTTTGAGACAGTCTCAAACATCTGAGGCCTTCCTAACTAAGTGGACAAAGATGACCTTGAACTTCTGATCCTCTAGCCTCCACCCCCGAGTGCTGAGATTCTGATGCACACACACAGCAGCACACACAGCAGCACACACAGTTTAAGAGGACTTCCTGCACAGCAGACAAGCACCCTCCCAACTGAGTTGCTTTCACAGCCTTCACCATCCATTTTAGATGACTAGGGCAGGTGACAATATAGTTCTTTTATAGATTAAAAAAAAATCTGAGTAGAGAAAAATGAGGTGACTTATTCAACGCTAAAATGGGCCCTAACATTCCCAACACGCTTCTTCCAGGCTTTTTAAGTCAAAGAAATTCATGGCTTCAGGGCAACTGACTCTTGGTTTCCATGGTAGCCTCCTATATAAAGAAAGATCAAATAGAGGCCACAACAAACAGGTAGACTGGAAAATGGAAGCTGCTGGGTGACAAATCCAGTCCCTGAGTCCAGGTCCTCTAATGTCAAAACACTGTAATCTGAGTCACTGCCACGAAAAAGCACTACGGGGTATATTATAGACTATCATGCAACTAAAGTAGGTCACAAACATCAACTACAAGGGAACTGTACTGACATTTCCTGACAAGCTCCCCTTATGGAGATCTGCCAGGACACCCAATGCGCTTGAAGGATGGAATGTCCAGAAGTCTCTACTCCAAGGCCCTCCCCTGAGATCCTTACCAGCCACAGGACTGGACATGTACGAACAGCCTGGAGAAGGCTGCCATCCTAACCCAGGTCTTAACTCAAAGGACACTCATGAGTAGCAGCCTGTGAACTTTTTTTTCTCTCTAGCCCCATCAACATCAAGGCCAGTGTCACTCAGTGTGGTAATGGCTGTGAGCCAGGAAAAGAAAGCAAAACTGAAGAGTCAGATTCATCTTCTGGATGTCAAGCCGAACCCCCACTGCGCCTCTCAGACAGAAAGCCACAATGCAAGGCATGTGCTGACACACGCCACGTCACGGCTCCGTGGGAGTTTATCCCACAAGGGTGAGCCTAGCCAAAGCCGTGGATAGGTGGGCTTGGAGGGATGGATAGGGAGAAGGAAATAAAAGGTAAAAAGAGCAGTAAACCCTAAGAATAGGTAGGTTCTTCAGGATTAATAGCATAGCTCCTGAGTGTGTGTGTATTTACATCACACTTATTTATGTATGTGCGTGCATGCAAACCATGTGGAGGTCAGAGGATAATTTGCAGAAATCAGTTCTCTCCTTTCACTATGTAAGTTCCGAGTACCAAACACAGGTCAGCAGATTGGTGGCAAGTGCCTTCATCTGCTAATCCATTGCGTGGCCCAGTCCAGAGCTGAATGCTGTCCCAGACAGAGCTATGGTTGCTGTGATGAAACACCATGATCAAAGTAACTTGGGAGGAAAGGGTTAAATTAGCTTACACTTCCAGGTCATAGTCCAGCACTGATGGAAGCCAGGGCAGGAACTCAAACAGGGCAGGAACCTGGAGGCAGGAGCTGATGTAGAGACCATGGAGGGGTGCTGCTTACTAGCTTGCTCTCCATGGCTTGCTTATCCTGCTTCTTATAGAACCCAGGGCAACCTGCCCAGAGGTGGACCCACCCACAATGGGCTGGGCCCTCCCCATCAATCTCTAATTTAAAAAGTGCTCTACAGGCTTGCCTACAGGCCAATCTTAGGAAGACATTTTCTTAATTGGCGTTCTGTCTCGTCTCTCAGATGACTCTAGGCTTTGTCAAGCTGAGATAAAATTAGCCTGCATGAGTGCTTGAACTCATAATTCAAGCTGCTTAAGTCCCAGTTTACCTCTGTACACCAAAAAGGACAAAACTCACTTCACCATTCAGAGCACTCAGTGGGATCATGAACGCTGCTGATGTTTAGTAGTGGACATACTAAGCCCTCTGTACCGACGACAAGGGTAGGCTGGAGTTATTGAGCCTCTGGTGGACTGCAGGCCTAGCATGCACAAGGCCCTGGACTCAACCCCACTGTGAGCATGGTGGCACACACCCGCAATCCCAGCACTCGGAAGGTGGAGGCAGGAGGATTAGAAGTTCGAGAATATCCCTGGCTACACACATACAGTTTGAGACTAGCCTGGGCTTACATGAGACTCTGTCTTGGAAAGAAACTAATAAGTGACAACAACAATATCAGGTGACCTGCTGTAGGAAGCCAGTGGTTACCCGCCCACTGGGGCGTGGTCGCTTATACTATATAAGCGGATGTAGGGCATGCGTCCGGTCTCTTTTCCAGCTGCAGGATTCAGTTTCTGATCACCGTTCAAGCAGGATTCTAATTTGTGAGTCTACCCCCTAAATAAATAACCATCTATTTCTCAATTCTGAGCTAGTGTGGGATTTCTTTTAAGGGTCCATCTTCAGTGACCTTACAGAGGGATTACTCTGGGCCAGGCACCGCTCCAAACCCTATGCAAGCGTTTGCTATTGTCATCACCACAGTTGTTCCGTGTCTCAGCCGAGGTGGCACAGCCCTTTGGGAGAAGTGTTTGGATTAGAGTACAGACTTATTGAGCTGCCCTACTTCTGCCACTGATGGGTCCTCTTCCAGTGATTTCCCCTTTCCCTTCTTGTGTTTGCTGAGAGAACAGGTCTCTCAGATGCTAAGTAGAGCTAAGTGCTTAGTTCCGGGGCCCAGAAGGTCAGCTTCCTCTTTTCAGACAGAAGCACAGTCTGCGTGAGAAACCAAAACCATCACTCAGCAAGAATAAATGGAAGAAGGGGCCCCTGGGAACTCTCTGCTCTTCCTTAGCTCATTCATCCCAGGTCAGGCATGAGCCAGATGTCAATACTGAACAGTCCCAGGAAAGGCTGACAGAATACTTGTTACAGGGAATGTCCCAGCATATCCTGTGAAATGCCTTCTAGGTACTTGTCGTGAGAAGCGCTATGCGAGTTACTCAAAACCCACAGAGGAACCCAGTAATTGTGAGGCTAGGCTCAGACTGGAATAAATTCCTCAGTCAAAACCTCACCCCACTTTTAGAGCGTGAATCATGAAGTGAGGCTGGCAGCCACCACGGATGAGTGGTGACTCAGAATCAGCAGCAAGAGCGACTTGGAGATACCAGAGATTCCACTGAAGTCTTGGGGCTGCTACGGCCCGCACCATTTAGGCTCTAAGACGTGGAGCTAGATAGTGCGCTTGGCTGATGGGATAGGAGTCATAAGTAGATCATCTCAGGTCAGTCCTTGCTCTGTAAAAACATGCCAACTGTCCTTCGAGATAGCAATCCTCGGGCAGCCATAACTTAGCTGGGGGAGACAAGAGAGAATAGCAAATACAAGTCTGGGATAACTGCCCACTGAAGGACATATGGAGGTGGTGTGACTGCCAGCGATGGAGAGATCTCTGAGAGTTGGAAACACAAGGGCCTGATGCAGGCTGCATGGGTATGAAGGATGCCCTGGGTTCTGGAACACTAGAAGGCGAGAGTAAGGCTTTCCTGGGGACAGATGGATCAGTGTGAGTGGAGGCTAATAGTCTTGGTAAGGGTTATCTCTGGGCAGCTGATGAGATTGGAGGTGTGTACTGGGGAAATGTAGAAAAGAAGGACTGAGGGACCTTAAACACCAAAGGAAAGATCCCTCGGGAAATGGAAACCTGCTAAAGGTTTAGGAGTGGACAGTGACTCCAGGGCATGCGTAGGGTACATCGACATTGCTCACTGTGTTCAGCAGCAGCTTGAAGATGAGTTATCAGTCCCAATAATATTTATGGTGTGCCCTACGGTCAAGGGGCTGACACTGTCAGGAGCTGGTACTAGACAAATTGTGTTGGACACAGAGGGTTTGGAACTTTTAGAGTATATGGGCACACAAGAGACCAACACTATC